GGTGGGCAGGGTGTCCGAGGCTGAGGGAGGAGACGAGCAGCCACAGAGGAGTGGCACATGTAGGGTCACGGAGTCCTCTGCTGTGACTGGATCTGCAGTGGGCAGCGTTTGAGAACGTAGGCTGGATGGACCCAGGTATCATATGTGGCCCAAGCTAGAGAAATTGCTAGGGAGTATTTAAAGTTGTTTAGTTAGTTTGCTTGTTTTTGTTACTGCTGTTTGTTTTTTTTAGAGCAAGAAACAGCTTGTGTGAAAAGCTTACCATAGGAATTTCACACTAGTGGTCATGGAGGAGGGTATGTTGAATGGAGAGGGAGCAGTCCGATTTCTGTTTCTGAAACACTGGTTGAATGGCTGAGGTCCTTCTGGTTACGTATGGTCTGCACATCTGCAGAATGGCATGTTAGCAGGATTCTTGCCAGAGGGCAAAGTTCGTGGAACTCCAGCTTCAGGGGTTAGCAGACTTTTTCTCAAAAGGCCAGATAGTAAATACTATAGGTTCGTGAGCATCATGGTCTCTATTGCAACTAATCAGCTCTATATTTCTAGCTCTAAAGCAACCATAGGCAGTAAGTAGAAAAATGTGCACGACCGTGTTATAGTAAAATTTTTATTTACAAAAATAAGTGGCCATTACAGGCCATAGTTTGCCAAGCCCTGGTTCGCATTATAGTGAGAAGAGGGTCGGAGGCAGGACTCTGCGATCGTCTCTTCATGCAGCTGTACGGGGAGAGGGACTCCTCACAGAGCATGGGGGGGGGGCAGGAGCACAGGGACAGAGTGAGGATCGGGGCAGTGGGAAGAGGGTGGTAGGAAGGAGTAAGGACAACTCTTGTTTTTAAAAGGAGCCATAGGAAATTGAACACTGAATATTTGATATTAAGGAATGGCTAATGTTTTTAGATTGTGATAATGGTAATGTGGTTTTGTTCTTAAAAAGGATTCTTATCTTTTAGAGATCCACATTGAAATAATTATCGATGGAATGATGTGATAAATGGAAGTTATTTTAAAATAATCCATTGGAGTTGTAAGAGAGGGAAATAGATGGAACAAAATGGTCTTTGAGTTGAAAATTCTTTGACCCTGGGTGATGGACACATAGGGATTTGTTGTACTAGTCTTTCTGCTTTTCTTTTTAAGTTTTTAAAAAGGATTTTATTTATTTTTAGAGAGAGAAAGAGAGGGAGAGAAACATTCATGTGTGGTTGCCTCTCATGTGCCACCTGGCCTACAACCCAGGCATGTGTCCTGATTGGAAATCAAACCAGCAACCCTTTGGTTTGCAGGCTGGCACTTAATCCACTGAGCCACACCAGCCAGGACTCTGCTTTTGAATATCTTTTAAAACTTCCATAATAAAAAGTTATTTTAATAAAAGGCTTTGGATTTGGCAATTAAGGAGTTTACTTCAGAGTCCGTTCCTGAGACAATTGGAGAAAAAAGTCGATTGCAGGTGATGGATGACAGAGGGTTAAGCAGTTTGCTTCCTGAGAAAGAGGAGAAAGAGGAAAGACTACAAAGGAGAGAGAAGGTCGAGGAAGCCAGTGGCGAGGCAGACTCAGTGATGAGAATTGTGGAGGAAGTTCTCGGAGGACCCAGAGTGGAGGGACTTGGGAGCATTCTTCACCTCATGGTCATTTTGATTTATCCCCAAATACAGGTGTGTCCTGAACCATGAATTTATAGAATAATGACAGTGCCCTTGAAATAGCTTCCTACCTCTCAAAAATGAAATCAAAGGTACTTTCCCACAAAGTAGGAAAATAATGATGGGTTTGTGTAAAAACCTGTGTGTCTGCTGGTAGACATTTGGGCACTTGTCACAATATGGCAAGGGAATGAATTTCACATGACAGTAATCTCTAGAGATTTATAGAACAGCTGAAAACATTAAGTTATGCATTCTCTTCTGCAAGCTTCTACAGTCATACCTTCAAGTCCCTCCTCTCGTTTAAATACCATCTGCTTAGACTTTTATGAAAGGCGTGCCTCTTATACAACATTTGGAAACTACAGGGCAAAATTAAGAAAACCAATCATGTTTTTTCCTAAGACACATCTAATGCCAGTAACGGAATTACTCTAACTTCTCTAGGTTGGGCACTAGAATTAATACACCGCGCCTTCCCTTCATGCATTTAAAGTATATTAAGGAAACAGGCCAAGAAACAGGGCGATAAAGTCCCCTAAATTTAAATAGTCTTTCTGAGTTTTTTGATGAATTCTTGCTTTAACAAGTATAAATGCCCTAAATAAAACACCTTTTTGTTTCACTTTCAGTAAATTTGGAACTTTTAACATAGTGTTCTTTCTAATTCGAATTTTCCTTGATTTGATTATTTTTGCTGTCATTAACTAAAACCCGCACTAGGAAGGGGGGCAAAGCATGTGTGCTGTATGTTGTGTATCATTCTAGTGAGACGAACCTGTGAGAACCTTATATTTGGAGTATGCGTGGGCAAGCTAAGTATAGATGAGTTCACTTCTTTTGTTTTGTTCTCAAGTTGGGTGACAGCTGAGAGAAGCAACAGAATAGATACCTGCACCACCCATGGATCAGCAGGTGCACTGTATTCTCCATCACTTCATCTGAATTGAGCCAGTAATGCGTCATGTCATTGTGTTTTGTCCTTTTGTTTAAAAGTTATTTATTGGAGACTTTCCCATTGCACACAGTATAGCAACGTGATGTACTCTAGGGCTAGATGAAACAGTCTGTAATTAGCTGACAGATAATTAGCACTTTCAGGATACCATTTTCATCTTATAATCATTTACTCTCAATGAGCTAAGTTGTCTTCTGTAATTTACCTGGCATGTGTGTTATTGGGGTGCAGTCATGCTTTCTTTTTACATAAGAGATGAATCAGTCAGAAAACTCGGAAGGCACCAGTAGACTTTCTACCAAGAATGGCCAGTGTTAGAATGTGGTATTTTTCAAACATCTTCGTTTTAGATTGAGTGTTGCCAGTCTCCCCTCCCCTGTTTATTTAAAGTGTTATTTACCAACCAGTATCATAGGTTCAAATGACTAGGTATTGCCTTTTTAAGTTGCCAATATTTTTCTTTTTCAAGTACGTTCTAAACTCCTGTGTTAAGTAGAAATATTTGTTAAGTTTCTAAAGCAAAATTTCAGTAAAATATTTGATTGTCATAGTTTTTCTTCTTAAATGTTTATCTCACAATTTTTTTCTTTAACATATGTTAAACTTTCATTTTAGGTCTTGTCTCAAGAATAAGCATTATTTTGAGTTTTTGAGGCAAAAAAATTATGTACATATAAGTAATTTGTCCAGTTGATTAATAAAAAGGTGGTATAAGCTACATTTAAATAATTCATATACAAATAACTTTTGACTCGTGATTTGATAATGCTTAGCTGTTAGGTTTTATACATCATTCAGACTGTGTTTACATTGAATTTTTGATTTATCTAAAATAAACTATTATACATGTATGTTACTTCAGTCCATTATTCTCTGATAATTGTTAAGTACATGGCACAGTCCTTATAGAAATAAGGTGCTTTTTATAATCTTTTGCTTTTGGTCCTTTTTTGTGAATAGCCTGGACTATTCACTGTCTATTTAATAATAGCAAGCTTTGTTAGGGGGTTAGGAAACACAACATTAAAAATATGTTGACATACTAACTAATGAAAGTTGGAAAAAGTGTTCTTCTTGAGACTCTATAAAAATATGTCCAGTACAGCTTACAATTTATTATATCCTTTTTACTGTATCATTTGCAGTAATACATTTGACAGTCAGACAGGCTTGATAATGCTTTGAATCTTAGTATTGTTCACTTTCCATCTCCATGGCAGAATGTTTCTCTAGTTAGAAGACTTCGAAAGTACAATGGTTTTGTTTAAAAAATGAAGTATTACACTTCAAGAAATTATTGCTCTCTGGTTTTTTTATTAGCTTCCTCTTCAACCCTTGAAACTGATATCCATCTGGTATCTTCTAATAGTGAACCATTCAGCAGTTAGGGCGTTACTGATTTATTTAGTGTTCTTTTGGGTTAGTCTTCTATTGCTGCCCAACACATTACCCCTACCAGGGGCGTCCAACCCACGGGCCACACGCAGCCCAGGATGGCTGTGAATGCGGCCCAACATCAAGTCGTAAATTCACTTAAAACTTTTTTTATTGCTTACCAGTTTTCATTAGTGTTTGTGTATTTAATGTGTGGCCCAAAACAACTCCTCTTCTTCCAGTGTGGCCCAGAGACACCAAAAAGTTGGACACCCCAAACCATAACAGCTTAAAGCAACAAATATTTATTACCTCACAGTTTCTGTGGGTAGGCATCCCAGAGAAATGAGCTGAGTTCCTCTGGCTGAGGGTCTCTCACAGGCTGCAGTCATCTCCAGGTTCGACGTGGGAGAGTTGCCTCCAAGCTTACTCACACGGCTCTGCCTAGCCGTGGGTCCACACTTGTGGGCTGGAGACATCCTTGTCTCTTGACTCTCTGTAGAATAGCTTGCAATATGGCAGTTGGCTTTCTTCAAAGCCAGTCAAGAAAGAGGTAGCATCTCATCACTTTTGCCATAGTTTATTCCTTAGAAGTGAGTTGCTAGCTCCACCCAGACTCAAAAGGAGGTGGTTATGTAGGGCGTGGGTACTGGGAGGTATAGGGATCTTAATGGTTGCCTGCCGAATCTCTTGGGAGTACTTTGGAACTCATAGAAATTTACCACTCTTCCTATATTGCTTCATAGGATTATGGTGATAAAACTCCCTGTTCAGATTGAACTCCCTTCACTTAGCTTGCTTTCGCCTCACAATCTTGAATGAATCACTTGTAGCTGCTCTCCAGTACATTCTGGTATTTTTGCAGGAAGGGATACAAATCAGGTCAGGGGTAAAGGAATGTTCATTTACAGATACAGGGCTTTGTTAAAGGCTCTAACGTGCTGTATCAGAAAGTGTACTGTTGGAAGTATTTTATGCTCTGTTCATCATGTAGATTCTAATGTTTACCTTGTTCAGTATTGGTAAAGGTTTTCAAGGTGTCATGAAACGATGGGGATTTAAAGGCCAGCCTGCTACTCATGGTCAAACGAAAACTCACAGGAGACCTGGAGCTATTTCAACTGGTGTAAGTACAACTTAGCGACACTCTTCTTAAGGCTAAATGTTCAACTTCTGTGCATGGAGGCTTTAGTCTGTGCTTGGGATGAAGTCACATAATGTTAATGTGACTCAAGGTGGGTCCTGGTACTTGTCACACATTTTTGAGCCCCAGCCTTACTTAATTTCCAGAAGCCAACTTGAATTAGTTAAACGCTAAGTATCTACAGTCAGTATTGTTAATGTTTTTCTACCTACTTTCCCATTCCCATCTCTGACTCCTATGCTATACTCTGAAGTCAGCTGCAAGAAATCGGGGATTAGCCCTGGCTGGTGTAGCTCAGTGGATTGAGTGCGGGCCTGCGAAACAAAGGGTCACCGGTTCGATTCCCAGTCAGGGCACATGCCTGGGTTGCAGGCCAGGTCCCCAGTGGGGGACACGTGAGAGGCAACCACACACTGATGTTTCTCTCCCACTCTTTCTCCCACCTGTCCCCTCTCTCTAAAAATAAATGAATAAAATATTAAAAAGAAATTGGGGATTACAGTGCCCTTTCATCTGGACCCCCTGGTTCCTTCACAGATTCTTTCCCCTTAAAAGACAGTTGGGAAAGATCATCAAGGACCAGTATAATGGTGCACGAGAAAAGTGGTAGAGAAGAAATGGAGAAATAGACCATACGTACATAGGAAATGGAGAAGGACTTTCGTATTGCTAATTCAGTTCGACCTTCCCAGAGATGTAGCATAAAATGCCAGGGTGGGGGCTGGGAGTGTTCTTTGGAGCATCAGAGTAACGCAAGTTTAATCTCTAAAGCTTGATGTATATGTATATGTAGGGTTAACTGCAGGTATTTCTACTTTCATAAGAGGAATACAGATTAAAGGTGCTCTGGAGTTGCTCATTTCTTCTGTAGCAGATTGTGTTATGAAGCTCTTTGATTTTTGCCTCTGTTAGTAAGGACACAGGGAAACGGCACTCTCATCCATGGCTGGTGGGAACACAGTAGTGTGTTCCTTATGGAGGAGAATGGACAACATCTAACAGAGCTACATCGCAGTCCTGCCAGGACTCTACCCTAAAGATACCCTCCCCAAAATATGAAAGTGCATTTTCACAAAATTAGTCACTGCAGCTTTATTTGTAATTACAAGTGTGATGCCCATTCCTGGGAATTTGGATGAATAATGTATGGAATTGTGCATCTACTCAAGAATACTATGCAGCTGAAAAAAGAATGAGAACATCGTTTTTAAATGATGGAGTGATTTCCAAGATATAAGGAAATGCACGTTACCTGCTTATTTTTGCAAAAAAGGACCCAAAAGATAATCCAGAAACTAATGAGATGTGTTACGTACAAGAGATGAGTGGGACCAGTATGGAAGGGACAGGAAGTGGCAAGAGTGATCGGCACTTCCCTGGATATACTTGTTATACTTGGAAACGTGAATGTTTTACGTAATGAAAATAAAATGAAGGGGAGGATCCACAGTGGGATGTAATTAGAAGATGAACCTACCTGTTTCAAATGAACAGCATCACCTCACCAAAGAGGTAGGGAGTAATTCAAGTAACTTTTGAACACAGTATTTGGCTCTATACCCTGAGTCCACATTTAAAATGTACAGTGCACAAGCATTGAACCCTAATTTTGTATATTTGCAAAATTACTTCAGCTATTCTGAAGTAATTTTCTTTGAATTGTAGGATTGGATAGATAGGTAAATATATGGATAATGGGAGCCAAGTTCCTGACTGTTAGAGAAGGGTATTAAGTTATGAAAAGGAAGGAAATTAAAACGAGCCTTATGTGTTGATAGGTATCAGTATATATTTACTGTATGTTTATGTAAAGAAAGAAACAGATACAGATATGTATATGGGTGTATATACATTTGTGTTTTCGCTATTGAAAGGACCTAAAAGCAAGGATATTCCATAGTAATGAGCACTCCTGGAGCTGAGGTCTTGCTTTCTAAACACCATTCCCCGCTAAAAGGAACTGGGGCTTGTTGGAGAAATGACTGATCTCGTGCATGGGTTAGGAAGAACACAAGATGAACACACACCAGCTTGCTCAAGAAATCAAGGCAGTGCTTAAAAAATGATGACACATGAAAAGGACCCAAGAGCCAGCTAAAATTAGCTCTGACTTGCAAAAATTGGGAGGACAGTTGGATCTGAAAACTTACAAAATGAAATAAACTTAGGATTGATGAGTACACACTGATGCAAATAAACAAAATGGATAGGTTAATAAACAAGTGGGAGGAAAGGGGCTGCTCTTCCTTACAGTGTAATCTCAGCTGACAAATGTGGAAGGGATGATGGAGTGAGAATTTCACTTTGACCGCATCATAGGAATAATTGATTCAGACAGCAGTTACCGATGAATGCCAAAACAAGTGGTAAAAGCTTGATGGAGACTAGTTATTTACAAAGCCCCAAAGCAAATTTCCTCTTAATTACAAAGGGAAAAGTGGTAACCATAGAGTGGATTAACCTAGTGAGCACATCCTGAACTAGCTGATCAGTGTTATACATCACCACTAATTGAACAAGCCAACACCATGTGCCTCCTGGTCGCACTCCAGGAAAAAAGCACATCATCACTTCTGTAGAGATTCCTGTCGGACATGCATCTAATCACAGGGAAACATTAGGCAAACCCAAATCGAGTGATATTCTACAAAATAGTTGGATCATAACCTTCAGAACTGTCAAGGTCATGAAATGCAGCAGCTGCTCCAGATCGAAGACTAAAGAGACGTGACAACCAAGTGCAATATGTGACTGTGAAGTGGGCCCTGCGCTTGGGGGATATAAAGAATTTGTTGGCGCAGTTGACAAAATTAGAATGTGGACTGTGGATAAGATGATAATGTTTTAAATTTCCTGAGTTCTAAAATTGTACTGTGGTTGTGTAAGAGAATATCCTTCCTAGGAAATAGACCCTGGAGTACTTACAGGTCGAGGAACAACATGTCTGCCCCCAAACTTGAGTGACACGGGCTGTGTGTACATAGTGAGAGTGAATGGGGAAGCAGATGGCGAGGTGTAAACAGTCGGTACATGGGGGCAAAGAGTATGGGAGCCTTTTCTGTTACTTTTGTGACTTTTTCATAAATATAAAATTATAAAAATTATATAAAATAAAAAGTTATAAAAATGAGGTAGATCATAAATGTAAACTTTAGAGCTTAAGACCTCTTTTTAGAAAATGTAGGAGTAAATCTTCATGACCCTTGGTATGGCAAAACTGTATATATGACACCAAAAATACAAGTAACCAAAGACGATGTAGATAAATTAGACTTCATCAAAAGTTTAAACTTTGGGCTGCTCAGAGTTCCATCAAGGAAATGAAAAGGAGAAACTCTTACAACCCAGTAGTAAAAAATAACCCAATTAAATGTAGGCAAAGGACTTTGCTTCCCAAAAAAAGATATACAAATGTCCAATAAGCACAGGAAATGCTTAACATATTTGGCCGTTACAGAAATGTAAATCAAAACCACAGTGAGATGTCTGTAATTAAAAAGGCAGGTAATAACAAATGTTGGCAAGGATGTGGGAGAATGTTCTAAAACTGATTGTGGTGATACACAGCTTTCTGAACATACTAAAAACATTGAACTGTACCCTTTAAAAGGGTGAGATACGTGTTTGTGAGTTTTATTAATAAAGTTCTCTTGAAAATTAGGCATGTAGAAGAAGGACCCAATCTTATAACTCAAGTTAGTTATTTGTTATGAAATATACTGTGATGTGTTTGTAAATAATCCTTTCAGTAAGGACTAGCTAGTGACTGCCTTTAAATCCTAACAGTTGGGGTATGCTTTTAAGGAGAGTGAATTTACTGGGGAGAGCAGAGTCTTTTTTTAGTAATGTCATGTTAAGCAAGGGGCTTATCACGGAGCATATTAAACTTTCCTGTGATATAGAATAAATACAGAATGAATAAGAGTGATGGTCTGTCTGTAATATTCAGAATTGTCTTATAAGCTCTGGATTATCTCCCAATACGAGCTGCTTCCCTGGACGTTTGCCTGTTGTTGTGAGAGTAGTGATGCAAAAGTTATCTTTCAAGAATTCTTGTGTTATGAGGGCCTTTCCGATTTTAGATGTAATTCAGATTTCCTTCTTTAGATGTGAAATTATTATCCATTATCAAAGCCAAAATCAGAGAGACTGTGTGAAGCCGTTTGATTTATGTGGGTCAGAGACAACCGGGGCTGAAGAAACAAAGTCAGTAGTCTGGTGACTCTGTCCTTTCATCAGTCCGGCGCAGGGAGGGCACAACAAAAGCGAGGGCAGGAGTCGGGCCATTGCAGCGGCAGTCGTGGGGATGGGGCCCATTAAATCCACCAGCACAGAAGGTCAGTGCAGGTGGGCCAGGCAGTTCGTTGTTTCTCTGGTGTGTGACGTGTTCGTGTAACCTTTAAAGTTCTCAACCAGTGTTCGCGCAGCTGCTACTCTCTTGTTACTTGAGTTTTTCCCCTAAATCTGTTCTTAGTCCGTATTTATTTTGTTGCTCTAATCTTAGATTACTCTTACTGGGGTGAATGTGCCTAAATCCGAATTTAGTTCTTTACTGGGGCCTAGCAGAATGGGGGGGAAATGAAACACTTTAATAACTCCCTTCTTGTTTACATTTTGTTTTGATCAGAACTGTTTGAAACTGACTACTTAACAGTGCTGATTTCCGTTCTCTCATTCAGGATGTAGCAAGAGTCTGGCCTGGAACTAAAATGCCTGGACAAATGGGAAACATCGATAGGACAGAATTTGGACTGAAAGTAAGTTTCTGAAGTCGCTCTTTTTAAGAGCAATTAAATTAATGCCTAAATGCAAAGGCGCTGGAGTATGTATTTAATGTGTGTCTGTTTAATTATTGTTGTTCAATTTAATGATTGATTCTAATAGATTTTACAGTTATTGAGGGGTGAATAATACAAACAGTTCATGTATTCTGAACTGTGTTTGTATTATATATTCTCAAATTTTTTAAAGTTTGATTTTATTTCTTGCTTTAGGTGTGGAGAATAAACACAAAGCACAATATAATCTATGTAAATGGCTCTGTACCTGGACATAAAAATTGCTTAGTAAAGGTATGTTTCACTATCTTTATTTGCTATTGTTTGTGTATGTGGATGTGAATAAAATTCTCCTTTAACCCATAAACATTGTAGCTTGAAAATTAGTGGCTGTTTTTCCATGAGCTCTCTGATTTTTTTTTTTTTCTTTTTAGCCTGAGTTAAAAAATTGCACAAAATAACCTATAGTACATGTCTATACAATGATGAGCCTGCAGAGGGGGCAGGACCAGTAAGCAGAGGCTCTTTAGAAATGTGGAAAGGAGATTAGGGTACTGTTGCCAAAATATGATAATACAGTTAAATGAGAGAGTCAAGAAGAAAGGTGATTAGAGGTAGACATTTTAAATAAATAACAAAAATCCCGTTGTTATTACCACCATTGCTTTGATTGTACTTTTAAGTATTTTTCCTGAAAATATGCATGTTCATTTTTATGTTCAAAAACAAAGTAAAAAGAAGAAAACAAACATGTTGCACGGGATAGATGTGAAGAAGAACCCGTGCTCTCAGAGATGTGTTTCTATCAGATAAAATCCAAATTACATTCTCTGCCTGGGCTCAGACCAATGTAATGCAAAGTAACAATATCACTTGAATTTTGAATCTTTCACTCTGAGAATAAATTTATACAACAATAGCTATTCCTAGAAATATATCCTTTATTAATTTCCCAACAATAACAACAAAGGTAGGTTGAAACTTAAACCTGAGATTTTGTTTTTTAAGATTGTATTTATTTATTTTTATTTATTTATTTATCTTTAGATGGGAAGGAGAGAGGGAGAGGAACATCAATGTATGGTTGCCTTTCGTGCGTCCCCTGCTGGGAACTGGCCTGCAGGGAACCAGCCTGCAACCCAGGCATGTGCCCTGACTGGGAATTGAACCACAATCCTCTGGTTCGAAGGCCTGTGCTCAATCCACTGAGCTACATGAGCCAGGGCTAAAGATTGTATTTATTTAGAGAGGGGAAGGGGGTGAGAGAGGGAGAGAAACATCACTGTGGCTGCCTCCTGAGCGCCCCCTACTGGGGACACAGCTGGCAACCCAGGCACATGCCCTGACTCGAAATCAAACCAGTGACCCCTTGGTTCACAGGCTAGTGTTCATTCCACTGAGCCACACCAGCCAGGGCTAAACCTGAGATTTTTCATATTGGGTCTCTTTCTATGTATGGTTTTTATTTCTTAAAGTAGATTCTATTATTATCATAAGGTACAATATTTGTTTTAGTTTTACAGTAATTAAAGTTCCCTTATTGCCAGTATTTTTGACTTCTCACTTTTCTTTAAAAATGTATTTGATGAATATTAGCAAGATCTTTTTTTTTTTAAAGATTGCAGGTGTTTAGGCTTAAGTAGGTTTCCAGGCTCCAAGTGACCCCCTTCTCTAACTGACCACAGTGACAAGCTGTTGAAGCCAGCAGCTTGTCATTGTGCTTCTCATAACATTCGGGCTTTAAAACTCAGTGTATTCCTACCTCCGCACTCCAGGTTTATTACATGTTATGCATATCACAGCCTAATAAAAGAGAAAAAAGGAAAGGGATTACTTTCCAGAGTGCAACTGGACTGGGTAGCAGGAGAATTTTTTGTGTGGTCAAAGCCTTACAGGGTCCGCACAGATAACACCCCTTTTTTATCACAGAATCTTTTATTACAAAATCATCAGCATATAGTCTGCAACACAACTATACCACACTCAAGCACACCCTATGACATTGTGGGTAAACTATTCAAATTAGAACTACAAATTATCACACCCGTATTATTGCCCTACCAGCCTCACTCAGGCGGGCCCTCCGTCTGCCGGGCCCTGTGCGTTCCCACTCGCTGCACACGAGGCCCGGCGGGCTTGCCGCTGGCCTTGCTGCTGCTCCTGTGGCTTCTCGGGCGCCACCTCAGATGTCCTTTGACACCAGCGGGGTGAATTGGTCAGCTGGCTGGAAAAACCATACTATATGCACTGGTTTTCTGATCTGGCTGTTATGAACAATTTATAATCAGTAACATCTATTACTCAGCTTTTCGTCCACTTTAATGAAAGATTACTTTCAGAAACTGAATCAGCTCTCTTACTGGACGATAGCCTGCTGTCGCTGAAGGCGGTCAGAAGGTGCCCCCGAGGCCATTCTAAAGGGGAGTCCAAATATGTTCTGAGAACTAGAGCAGCAGAGAAATGTCTAGTCCACTTTGAACTGTGAACATAGTCTCAGTGAATATTCTCAACAAACATATTTTGATTTTAAAAAAAACTCATCTTGGAAGAAAAGTCTTTGAATTGTGGTACCTAAACAGCTTCTGTTTTGTAGCCTTAAATGTCTGCCCCAAGCATTAGGGTGTAGGTTTGAATGGGGCATTTGTGGGCTTGCGTTTTAAACCTCACAAGTCCGGCACACCTTTTGCTCTCCTTCAGCCCACTTTCCCGATTCCTCGGGGTGACTGACTGCACAGCAGGTGAGGAAGCCCCGTGCCAGTGCCCGGGAGAAGGAGGCACTTCCTGTGGGCAGGCAGCCTCTTCCCCGTTCACTCTCCCCACGGGAGCTTTTGCTCCCTCAGAGTGCGGGCCACCAGTAACACGTTTTTGTAATTCTAAAATGAGTAGCCGTAGCACTGGGAATGACCGGCCTGTTTAACTACCGTAAGCTTTTGTTGTTGTTCGGATTCACTAAAGGGTATGAAGATGGGTGAAGAACTATTCACAGCATAATGCAGCTTATGTCATGTGTGCTCACTCCTGTATCTTAATTTATCATTTAAGTTGATTTTCACGTGTGCTTGTTGTTGTGTGTGTCCTAACCTCTACCATTCCTCAAGGATTTGGACTGATTTGCCAGTACACATACACTTATAAAGAATGGGGCAGATAGTTGCCGGGTCTGGGGAAGCCGGGGTGCCGTTAAGTGTACAAACTCACAAGCCCTGCGGTCTTGCACAGTGTAAGGCAGGCTGCACACTTTGGCCCTAGAGACACGGTCGTGACTTATGTCTCAAGTCAGTGAGTTACATACAGTAGCACTTACAGCTAAAATATTTAAGCAGTGCATTGGTCTGAAATGTTACGTATGATAAGTTTAGAAAAGTGTAGAAGTAACTGAGAATTCACTGTTTAGGTCATTTAGGAGCAAATGTTTGCATTTACCAAATTAGCATAGAAAATTTAATTGTTTTAATACAATTAATTTAATAAAACTGAAGATTTATTCAGTTTTATTTTCAGTTCTAAATTCTGACACAGTTTAAATTGGTGAGAATATGACCTTTTATTCCCCTGTTAAAGTTCAACCCAAGATTAGTTGGAAAAAAAATAAGATTATTTTCTTCTGGGCAACTTACTGATAGTTTTTTGGAATAGTTTTAATGAGAGAGATTAAAATAGATACATTTTTCTGTAGTTAGCTATTCCTAGCAGCTGTGTACTTATTTCAGCCAAAATGATTATGACTTATTTTACTCTGTGTGTAATTAATTCTATGTAATTTTTTTATTCCTCTCTAAGACTATAGAACACAGGTGGCAAACACAAGGCCCATGGGCCGGATCCGGCCACCACCTTGTTTTATCCGGCTCAGCACCTTGTTTCTACCCAGTGGCAGCACCAAGCTCTCAGTTAATGAGTAGTCACATTTACACAGTCCTAAAACTACATCCGGCCCTTTGAAGGCGACCGTGAGGCTGATACGTGAGGCTGATATGGCCCCCGGTGAAAACGAGTCTGACGCCCCTGCTGTAGAGAGAATAAGTCAGAGGCTTTAAAGAGCCCAAAAGACATTTTCCAAAAAATAAAACCCAACCTTTTAGATTGTAGCAGTAGCTGGACTGTTCCTTCGTTTATGAATTCACAGATAGAATATTTTTAGACTATAAAGAGTTATTAATAGGGATATAAACTTATGAGTTTATTTTTTTGCTGAACACTATTCTGTTCTTAGCTTTTAAATGAGAATGCTACTTGTTAAATGTAAGCTAATTTCCTTAATGATATTTTTGATTATGTGCTCTTAGAATTAAGACTCATAAAAATACTATGTAAACTATTTTTAACTCCAGCTAAACATTTGTTATAAAATAAAGTAGATAATATGAATAACTGTAATTGAGAAGTAGGTAGTAATGCCTTTTGGATATACAGTTTACATCAGATCTTTATATTTGAAACGTCAATTGGATATAACTTATGTAACTAGTAATTAATAGACTAAAATTTGTCCTGTTGGGCCATTCTAAAGATTTACAAGTAATGGATAAAATACAAATTAATAATCAGTAATTTTCTTAGGAGGTAGCTGATCAAGTTGAAGATTGGATTAAATTTATAAGTAAAAAGAATACATTGAGTTCCTTTTACATATAACAGTTGCATTATTCACATTAGAAAATAAAGAACCAGTATTCCTTGATTATGAATAATCATTAGAACAGGTTATCTTTAAATAACTTAATTGGCAGCACTTTTAATAAGATCTTTGCTTCCTCCCCCAGATCAGAGATTCTAAACTACCTGCATATAAAGATTTCGGTAAAAATCTGCCATTCCCCACGTATTTCCCTGACGGAGATGAAGAGGAGCTACCAGAAAATTTGTATGATGAAGATGTGTGTCTCCCCAGCTCCCCTTCGGTCACATTTGCCTGACCTCATGGACACGGAAGAGCAGCACATGTGTTTTTAACTTGGATGAGCCAGAACAGTCAGACACCCAGGAATTATACATAGTTTGCTTTTTAGGCCACAAGAATGTCACACTTGCCACCTTTGTCAAGGGCAAAAATGTGTCATTCATCCTTCAATGGCATTTTTAAACATATTAAATAAATCAATAAATTTTGCATATTAGCAAAATTTTTATAATTTGTGGCTTTTATTTCTCTCTTTACTACATGTTTTTCAAGTTACCTTTAAGATGTTCATAAATCTAACTTCTGTTAAAGACCTGTCTTTGTAAATGCGCTCGACTGCGGGGCAATGGCGACCGAGGTGCAGCCTGTGTGGAGAGCGTGGCCGTGTCCTAAGGTTCTGTCCTGTCGGTCCACCCCATTCACAGTCCTAAAGGAGCGGGAAGGGGGGCTCTCTGTTTAAACTACAGGAACAGGCGTCACAGTACAAGGCCTGCCAAAGACAAGAAAATCATAAATTATGGGTCTTACTTACACTTGTGTTGAGAGGAATATTTACTTTTAGTTTGATCTCTCAGCTATAAAATAGGTATAATCATGTTTTTCTAATGCCTTCTAAAAAGGATTTGAAATGGCCTGGGGTAGTTAGTACATTCAACACACTTTGAGCACCTCTTGCTGAAAATGTTAATGGCTCCTGAATTCTCTTCATTGTATGAAATTAAAATGTGTTTACCAGTGGCTACTTAGGACAAATAATTAAGCTTAACAATGTTAAGTATAAGCAGGCCTCATTTAACTGCTGGATTTACTCTGGACCAGATTCCTGAGGCCCCACAGAATTCATTTTAAGTCCAGGTGGTTTCTGAGGCCACCAGAGAGACTTACTGAGCACAGTGTTAGGCTCCACGTGATTTCCTGATAACTAATGAGTTTGTTGCTGAAAAGGCCCCATAATACCTTCCGCCCGTATCCTGTTTCTCTCATTCTTAACTTTAAATCCAAATGTAGCCACATCTTCTTTTAAAATTTACGTGCCGTCTCATTCTATTAAAGATTTGTGGAAATTGACAGGAAATTCGTGCACTAAAATGGTTCAGTCGGGAAGATACCGAGGGAGAGAGAAATCAACAACACAGGTGCAGGGTTGGAAGGATGATGCCCGTGTAACATAGCCTGCGGTTTGTGGTTGTCACACTCGAGTTGGCGCTGATCTTCCTGGGTACCCAGGCAAAACAGGTGACTTCCTCAAGAGGAATCATTTTAAACTGGAGTCTTAGTTTCCATACTCCTTTTTTACTAGAAACATAAATCACCTATCAACCTAGAAATTCCTGAACTTGTTAAAAGATAAACAGACATCATACACAGTGGTAAAATATTAAACACATTCTTCTCAGAGATCAAACAAGAATACCCTTTACTAATTCTATTCAGCAGTGTTCTTGGAGGACCCAGCCAGCGCAATAAGACACAATAAGTAATGAGATACACATATATTGGAAAGTGAGAATAAATCTTAAATATTTGTAAGAAAAATGTTCTACCTAGAATAGCAAAGACAATTAACTGACAGCCTGTCACAACCAGTGAAGAAAGTTCAAAAAGGTGGCTGAATACAAAATTAATATGCAAACACATTAACAGCAATATTTAATTGGGAAATTTTATGGGACAAAAATGGAATCCACTCACAAAAGCAATTTTTTGTAAAACGTTACCTGGAAAAAGGTCTAACAAATTTCCTAGTCCTGTTGGAGGAGATAAATTTTTTTAGGACATTAAAAAATAATAATGGAGAACAATATTCTGGTTATGAATGAGAAGACTTAATATTGTAAAGAATTCAACCCAAGTGTTAAAATCTCAACAGGACTTACCATAGTATTCAAACAGATTCTAAAATTCATGTGAACATGTAAAGTCAAGAATAACCGAAACTTAAAATTACTTAGGTATGACCCATACTGTACTTAGGGACTTAGGGTTACTTAATTTGGGAATTCAGAATACTGTATGACTTAACTCTTTAATTAGCTACATCTGATTGAAGATTTTAATGAGAGCTCTGACCAGGTAGCTCAGTTGGTTCCGATAAGCCACAGCTGTGGGTTTGATCCATGGTCAAGGCTCATGCAAGAAACCGATGTTGTGTTTTGTTTCTCTCTAAAATCAACTAATTTTTTTTTAATTTTACAAAGTTTTTAATGACTAGCCCATGGACACAGACGACAATGTGTTAAAGGCCAGGGGTGGGGCTTGGTGGAGGGAGGTTAAAGGGGGAAATGGAGGACATCTGTAGTAGTGTCAGCATTTAAAAAAAAGGATTTTAATGAACTCACAGATGTGTCAAGTTTGCTGATAAAGTGATGAGAAGCATCTGTTACCTTGGCAAGAGAAATGAGCAATTATTACTTGGAGAACATAGTCTTGGAATCATAGCATTTGAAAGTGCCAGACGACAGAAGAGCAAAGATCAGTTCAATAGCTGTTGGCCCAGGGCATGTGTTTTGATTGGCATAGAGTCCTGGAAAGAGCGCCCCCTGACGCTGAACCCACCACCATCTATCTATAGAGTCCGCAAGTGGCCCACGGGTCTGCAGTTGAGTTTTAAAGAAAAAAATTATGCTCATCTTTTGTGACTACACATGGGAGCCCTGGCCTCCAGAGCCAGACAGCAAAGCACCTGTACCCACCCACCACCCTCAGCCTCCCTCACACCCACTTCCCCTGCCAGCACCCCGTATAGCTGCTCATCTACTGGGAATGTAGATCTTCCTTTTGCAAGCTTTTTCAGTGGCCCAGGAGACACATTTTCCTCAGCCAGCTGGGAGAGAAGGAAGCCTTCACCACAGCTATGGATACATAAGTCAGTGTACCTGGTGCAACACCAAGCAGAACCCTGATCGTTAAAAACCTTGGCTCACTATTTTCTGGCTACAGCACCTGTCATTAAATGTTCAACTCAAGAAAAATGGAACTCCGCCTGCAATGGACACAGTACACAGTCAATGCCGGCTGGCTCACCTCTCTTTGGAGCCCACGCAATACTAGGGACCTACTCTGGAGCAGTGTTGGCCCCGGACAGGGGTGGAGGCCAGTCAGTTCTCAGGAGGGGAGCCCACCTAGTCCTGATTTGGGCTTGATTGTTTTAGATTTTTGTTTTGAAATGGGGGGCCTTTTTGTAGCCAAACTTCATTCAAATTAGGTACTTTTTCCAGCCTTAGTTCATACTAGCCATTAGCTATAAAACAGATAAATATGGAACCTTATGTAATAAATTATGTATACCTCAGGAAGGCCAACTGGTCAAGGCATACCTGCTGTAAGAGTTCCACTAACTCTTGGTTCTTCCCTTCCAGGACCCACAGCTGACTACTGCGGTCACTGGAGCTGATGCTAATGTTGGTTGGTCCTGTCTCCACAAGGGCCCCCACAGTGGGAGAACAGTAGGTGATGCCAAGCTGTCACAGACACTGACGTTTCAAAGCATGTCTTGCACAAAGCAGACAGATGTAAGGATGTGATTTGCAAGTACAGTAGATTATTTCAGAGTCAGCTAATAGTGCATTTTGTAACCTTTAATGCTGAGACACGGACCTACTTGTCAACTTTTCACATGGGGTATAGAGATGACTTTTCCAGCTTATTTCCAGAGATAAGTTTGTGAATCGGCCCTGACTGTGTTTCGAGATCTGTGATGAAGTATATACAGAACTATGGATTTTTTTTTAGTGTAAAAAGTGTTACGATACGCAAGTTCGGCCAGTCGTTCGGGGGTCCGGATGTTGCGGGATACGTGGCACCTGTCTTTGGGACACCACAGTTTGCTGTGGCCACTGTGTGCCCATTGTGCACAGGATTATTATGCCCATGGTATGTATGTATGTGTAATGCACACCCTTATTTTTCCCTCAAAACTGGGCAAAGAAGTGCAAGTTACACGTGGTGAAATATAGTACTTTACATTCAGAAACTGAACTGTTTTAGTTATAAAAGAACCCCTCTATGATAAAAAAAATATGTCAAAATAAGAGCTTCTTTTTTGCAGCAAAACTGGACCTTGGTCGTAAGTCACTGGCCAACCCCTTCAGGAGGAAAGACCAGCATTTCGATGACTGGCTCTGGCTCTATTGTGCCCCTGGGGTGAAGGCTCTCCTGTGGGTACCTTCAAATGTCTGTACGACCCCTCGTTCCCGTCAGGGTACCAACAGTGCCCTGGCTCCTTGTGGCGCTGAGCCTTTCGAGGCGGCCCGGCCTGCAGTGTGATGTCCTAGCCCGACCGGCGTGGCCGGTTGGGCATTGTCACGCAAAGCAAAAAAGGTCAGCTGATCCATGTTTCTCTCTCTCCCTCCCTTCCTCTTGCTCTAAAAATAAATAAATAAAATCTCTTTTAAAAAAGGAAAAAGCATGCTGTCCTAGCTACTCTGTTGTTTGCTTGCCCACAGCCGATTTCTTTCCTTTGGGATGACTCTAAAAATGCCCATTACTGCCTGTGTCGTCCCAAGACCACCGTTTGGAAGTTCTGCCTTCTCCTGCAGGAAGTGTGGCAGGAAGAACGCAGTGGCTCTTGTTTTCATAGTTTCATAGCAGAGCACTGAGTAATGGGGCGGTTGCTGCTGACACCAGTTTTCCTGAACTGCTTACCCAAGAGAACACTTAGATTCAGACGGAACTAGGTCCCCAGCCTGTGAGGCCCCCTTGGGCAAACATCTGCGGGAGCTTCCCAGTCCCGCATGTCACTGCAGAGCTACCTGTTTTCTGCGTAGGAAGCAGTTCTTCACACAAGAGTTCACTTGACTAATGATGGCTAACGTTTCTACTGCTTTCAGGGATTTTCCCAGGAAGTCGACTTTCCTGTGAAAACAGACACTTTTCCATTTCTAGTTTTACTGCTCTATTTGTTAAGAAGCCTCACCTGCCAGCTTCCAGTAATGATTCCTGTCAGATCAGGTGGCAACTAGGCCCCAGAAATAGCGGCGATCTCTGAAAGCCCGCCTTACAGGACAGCTGACGGCTGCCACCCACACTGTGCCTCTAGCTATATGCCTAGGATTCCCCGAAGCGAGAGGCCCCAATTAAAGTGTCACTGTCCCCCCTCCCAGATCCTAAGTGCACAGGGCGCTGGCTCCATGTCACCTGCCTTTCCGCTCTTAAATCTTTCCATAGAACTTAGAGCAGTCCACGT